TAGCATAGGACACTGTTAAGTCCTTCGTGACTTAGGTATGACAGACAATTAATTTTAATTAGTTTTACCCTAAAAATACAAAATGAATCCTGATCTGGGCCCGAGGAGAGGCAAGAAGAACATCAACTGCCAAAACCATGTTTGGTTTCAGCAATCATGGATTTTAAAAAGCATGCAAGACAAAACTTATTTATAAAACCTTTATAGTTAGGCTCACGGCAGAGGAAAAAGTGAAAATAAAAGAGAGCGTGTACCAAGAGCCAGAGCTGGAAGGACTGTGAGAGCGTGGGATGTAGTGATGCTGAAAACCTGGCAATCAGTGAATCACTGCATCATGGACTAAGTATTTATTTTTTTCAAAATGCTAAATCACAGTACCAGTATTTAATCAGCGACAAGCCATCATGATGCATAGGCATCCAACATAGAGCTTTCCGAGGGTTGAAAATGGCATTTCCTCATTGCCACTATTCAATTTGTCATCACTGACAAATCCGACAAATCCGGGAACACCAACCTTGATTGAAGATACAATCAACAAGCCTGTGCTCTAATGTTCCCTCATTTACGCACTCGATTGTCGAATTTCAAAACCACTTCCACTAATCATTTTTATTTTAGCATCAGTTTCTTGCACTGCGGCCTTTTCCTGCTGCCGTAGACTTTATTGCATCAAACGCCTCCCCTCAATTCCGACGCCCTGCAACACTCCTACTTTGAATGAACTTTAATTATGCTTTCCCCAACAACCACCGGCCCGTCCCTTGCTCATGCCGTACTCACGAACTCTCAAAGGTTCATTGACCGGTCACGATGACGGGCCCGACAATCGAGAAATCGGAGGACGCGTGTTTTCTTTTTCTCCCTTTTTTGTCCTTATAGTGACATCAGTGAGAATATCGATTTAATTTTTATGGCTACACTGTGTTTTTTATGCACAAACTGCAGGTTACAAATTTTTATTAACAGTAAATCTAACGTCAACGAACTATCATCGGACAATTCTGAGCGGTAACGAAAGCGAAAGTAGATTTTGATTTTCCCGATGGAGTCTCGGTATTACACCTATAGTTCCGCCTGCCGCCATAGCCGCTCATTCGCGTGAAACGTACTCTCGGACTGGGGAAAGCCGAACGTAATATCACAAACGCGATCGGTAAAATATGAACTCGGTAGGCTTTTCAGATTTGGTTTTGAGGACTTTGTGCATTTTTGCGGGTCTAGGCGATTTTTTTCTTCTTCAGATTCCCGGGTAATAAATTCCCGCAGTCCCCCTGCGTAGAATCCTCATTTGGTACTGCCCAATTCTCTAGACCAAGACAGATTTTAGAATGTTTTGCTTTGATACCCATTTTCCTTCTACATTCACAATTCTGTTTTCTAGGTAAATGAATTAAGTGCACAGATTTTCCAGCCGCAGCAAAAAACTGAAGATAGAAAGAAAGAATGAATGAGAAGAAGGAGGAAGATTATCTATCCTGAGTAGACAGATTTCAGCCGATATGCACGTGAAAAACTATTGCCGACCGAACGGCACAGATAGACAATGGTCGAGACTACGAAATGCGCAATCTGGCAGTTTCTAATACAACTTATTGCCGGGAGTTGCTGTAAATATCTGACAAGTTACGGAGGAAAGTGCTGATCTCTCTCTCTCTCTCTCAACGCATGGAGTTGATATGATGATGCGGCAAGTACGGAACTTTCGGAATGTACGGATTTCCGTAAAAACAAAGAAGAATGGAAGCACTGCAGAATGTTTTCTTCTTCTTTTTATTCTCTTGGCACCCATCGTAAATCCGGTAGTTTTGACACCTCATCGGTATGTCGGTTGAATAGGCCCAAAATCGGTATCTACTGGAAAAATCGGTAGATTTAGGCAGCCCTGGACACGTAAAACTCAAAACTTTTTACGTCAAATTTCTCAAAACTAGGTACTGAGCAGACATAACTTTGTAATTCTAGGGTAGCGGCTAGACAAGAAATTGCTGCACAATCTTACGCTTGATCTTGCGAGAGTTTGAACTTGGAGGTTGCCAGCTAACAATGGCATCATAAGGGTTGTCGGTGGATGGAACGACAGTCACATCCTCCGGAGGGGAACCTCGCACTGTTGGGGGAGGATAGAGAATAACCAACATTCGGAGATCAAAGTAAAACAGATGAAAAGATGGGTGAAACAAAACCCCCCTGTATAGCTCTTTAACACAAAGCAACTTTTCAGCAACTTCCTAGAAATCATGAGTATCAAAAAATATTTAAGCATAGAATTGCATGCCTGTACAATATATATATATATATACTTGCGCAATAATACAAACATGTATTGAAATAATTCACGGACATAAAGTTTTTAAAATTAGTTTTCCTTTTCAGAAAAACATTTTTTCAAACCATCATTCATCAGCATCAGTTTCTTCACTTTATCAGTTTTATTGATGCTCTCACCTCTGGGCGTCTTGTATGCTATTGGTTCTGAGAGAGGACCAAACCCTTCTTTGTTCTCCGCCCCCACTCGGAAGAAGTAGTTCGTGCGGGGTCTAAGCTGGCTCACGGGGTAGGAGAACACGCTTCCTGACACGCTGATGGACTCTGCCTCCTCCAGAGAGCGCCGTATGTCCGTGGTGTAGAACAGGTGGTAGCCTGCAACCCAGGCATCAAGGGAAACAAAAGGTGTTTTGATATATATGCAAGGCGTGCTGACAAAATGAGTTATTTCTTGGATTTTAGCCTGATGGAAATAGATACGTCAAATTTATAGGTTGAGTTTTTTTCAACTTATTCGTATGAAATGATAAAAGACATGTTAAGCTTGAAGAGAATGGCATTGGCTGAGGATCTATAAATATAACCTTTGTGTTGATTTTTGGGCCAACATCTCGATTCATGGATAGCGAGAAGTAAATCATTTAGTCAGCATGCTTCATATATGACATTTTTGTAGAATGGGACGTAGGAAGGGAGGGAGAGTGGGTGAAGGAAAGAAAATGATGAGGGAAGGAATGAGGGATAGAGAAAGATAGAAAGAGGGAGGGAGGGAGGGATGGAAAAAGACAGAAAAAAGAGGAGAGAAAAAGAGAGTGAGAGAGACAAAGAGATAAAGACAGAAAGAGGGAGAGGGAAGGCAAGAGTGGGAGGGAAGGATGAACGAAAAGAGAAACAGATATCGTGAGAGTGAGGGGGGTGAGGTGGTGGAGTGAAGAGTAAAAAAGAGAGACAGAGGAGAGGGGAGAGGGAAGATGGAACCAGAGAGAGTGAGAAAGAGGGGGTGAAGAGAAAGGGACGGAGGGAGAGAAAGGGAACAGGGGTAAAGAAAGAAGAAGAGGGAGAGGGAGGGAGAGGGAGGGAGATAGAGAGAGAGACAATGACGGAGAGAGATGTCATGTGTTGATACTAAGCTGTATATGTACATAAATTTAACGTCACTGAAGTTGGTAAAAGCACACAAAATTAATTTCTTCTGACAGAGGACCAACATGAATAAAGTCCATTTAATTTTTCAGCTTTATCTTATTATAAATTATCTTTCATTACTAAATTGCTACCTCTTATTGATCAGCACTACATTGTACAAAGAGCTGCCTGTCAAAACTCTTTCTGTAGACACACACGCAACAGGAAAACACATGAGTTTGTACCCGTTATTTCTCCGTTGGGAAATGGTGGAGGCTGCCAGCTGAGGAGAGCCGTGGTGGGGTCCCCATGATCCATCAGTGCGGTGAGGTTACTGGGTGCGGAGTCCGGGGCTGAGAAGTGGTCAAAACAGAACTATACAACAACACTCTTCCCCCCTAGGGCAGTGCTACTGACGGAAGAGTCTTTAGGCCATTCCCAAAAGGGGGGGGGGGGAGTATTAACATGTTCTTATGCACAGTTGAATTGTAAATGGACTGATTTATCAATGCCACGCTCATACAGTGCTAGAACAAAATAGGGGGAACTGCTGCTTTCTTTTCTCATCTTTACTATTGTCATTTTTCCTCTACTTCTTTTGTACGTTTGTCACTCTCTTATGAACTGCTATTTCCAAGGCGTCTAGATACTCGAAGCAGACTTTGAGCTGTAGAGGCTAGAGAGGTGAGCAGAGTAAGCCTAATTCCCCATTCAGACTTCTCTGTTGACATCCACCCCTTGGCGCTCATATGACCGACCATATGCAGTTGTGAGCACCATAAAATCTTACTAAAAAGGGGATAGAACTCCTTAAAAAGGTCGAGTAGGCACTGACAGATAGGGTCAGAGCAGACTGTCTTCTTAATTGTTCTGCTGTTGTAAGAGTTTTATGGCACTTGCAACACAATTAGGTCCTGCCTCCTGTACAATCTAAATAGTGTCAATGTGGGAGTTTGACGTTATGAATCAATCAAGTACCTGTTTCTGTGGTGGTGTTGGTGACGGCCACACTCCACGAGGACATCTGTCCCCCATGCATGGCGCTGACCGAGAACTCATACTTTGTCGCCGGCCGCAGCGAACCGATGAACAGGTTGGTAAATGTTGAGTTGGTGTACGTGTAACTGGCTGATTTATCCGCCACAGCTCTGTAGCGCACGGAGTACCTCGCTCCTGAGAGAGCTCTGTCATAGTCCTGCGTGGAAGGACAAAGAGAAAAAGTCACTTACTGTTCTACACACATGGAAAAAAATAGTGAAAGACAACCAACTACACGTACTTTATACACTTGAAGTTCGGACATGGTCCCATGATCAGGTTATGGAATTCAAAATATTTTGGAATCCTTCCCTATTGAGCTTAACCCCTTCATGACACAGGGTCAGTTCGTACTTCATTGAGCACAGTTTTGGATCCATAGGGACACAGAGTAGCACTAGATTTAATGATCATTACCTATAATTAGACACGGTTCGCAAATGTTACTATGTCTAAAAGGAAAAGATTTCTTTGTACATAAGAATTATTCCTGAATATGAATCTACAAAATGTATGTACGAGGGCTGTCCTACGGAAAACCGGAATTTGGCTGTAATTTAAAAACTATTCAATATTTTCCCATTCTGTAAAAGCACACTTGTAAAACAATCATTTGGAAATTTCCTCATTGAGCACCATGCACATCGCACAAACCAAACGAACACAGCAGTTCTCCAAAGTTGGCTACCCCCTTGGAAAATTGGTCACGGGTAGAAGGGAGGTCTGTCATTCGGTTTCTGACCGCAAAAGGTCTCAAACCTATAGAAGTACACACTGAAATCAAGTCAGTTTACGGGGAGAAAGTTATGGCAAAGTCAAAGGTATATGAGTGGTGTAGTAAGTTCAAAGCCGGGCATACGGATGTCAATGACAAAGTTCACCCAGGACCTTGTTTTTCTGCCAAGACTGAGGACAACAAGAGTCGCGTTAACGAACTCATTCAAACAGAGAGGCGCCTAAAATTTTGCGAAATTTCCGAGTCGCTAAACATTTCAAAGTCGAATGTCCATAGGATAGTTTTGATGAGCTGCACTATCGAAAGGTGTCTGCTCGATGGGTCCCAAAAGAGCTGACAGCTGACCACGAAACGCAACGTGTTGAAGTGTCTCAGACTTTGTTGAATCGTTGTCCCCAAGCTGTCACGGGAGTCATGAACGCATCTGGAGACCTCCAAGAATACGATGAAGCATTCCTGAGAAGCATCATTATAGGTGATGAGACTTGGATACATGACATGACCCCTGAGACAAAGAGGGATTCAATGGTTTGTTAGCAAACGTCTCCACCTCCCCCGAAAAAGTTTAAAGTTCAGCCATCGGTGAAGAAACTCATGGCCACGGTTTTCTGGGATGCTAAAGGTGTTCTGCTTTTTGGCATTCTGGAACCAGGACAAAGTGTTGATGCTAACAGAAACTGCCAGACTCTTGATAAGTTGAGAGAGGTTGTGCACCGGAAAAGACCAGGCCGGTTGTCCAGCGGGGTCATTTTGCAGCATGACAACGCAACGGCACACACCGCAAACGTTACGAAAGACTGGATCCAAAGGTTCAGCAGGGAAGTTCTACCACACACCCCTCACAGTCCTGACTTGCACCCATCAGATTATCACCTTTTTGGACCAATGAAACGCCATATTTCTGGACAGCGATTCACCGACGACGAAGACCTCAAGGAAGCCGTGAAAGATTGGTTGAAATCCCTTGACGAAAAATTCTTCAGGGAGGGTATTTTCTCTCTGATCCAGCGGTGGGAAAAATGCGTCCAGCGGAATGGTGATTACATTGAGAAATAAAGCACATGTTGAGGTATGACGTGTTTCATTTTTATTATAATAGGACAAAGATTGTTGCTTTTATGGATCTTTTCCGGTTTTCCGTGGGACAGCCCTCGTAATAGAAGCAGTATGCAACTTATGACAAATGGTATTCGTCATCATGGTCCTCACGCTTCGCAAGGTATGACGAATAACATACGCCAGCATCTTGGCTCGCTCAACTTGTTAGCAAATATGACGAACGGCGTACATTATATAGGTCACGAAGGGGTTAACACTTTCAGTCAATTCCCTTGTGCCATAGTATCACTGTCTTTCTTTACACAATAAGACCATTATCTAATAAATGTAAAATCATAGCACAAAAAGAGATAAGGTCGTTAGTTTTTAGTAAGTTTTACTGCACTTACAACACAATAAGGTCATATAAATGCCCAAAATGAGAGGTGTTACAAGAGAGTAACAAATACAAAAAGGAGCAGGAGGAGAAATAAAGACGGAATATGATTGATAGGAAAGATGCAGCAAATCACAAACATAGGGCCAGGTCCAGGACCAGCAGTCAACCTTGTCCTTTGCTTTTACTTTCTTCGCTTCCACCTAGAGTAGCGGCAGGTTTGTGCGATAGGGGGGTCAGCATGACAACCCTGTAGTATGAACCAATTTAAACATGCTAGAGCGTTTCCGCGTTTATCAACATCCGGCAGCACCCTTTCCTGTAGCACGAGATAATTGGCAGGTCACTGTGGTTGCTCATTGCACGTACACAGAGGCAAATTATTTCAAGGCTAGCTGATTACGTATTCTGACAGTGCATCGGCCTGCAGTTGTAAGGCTGTCAATACATTTTATGAAGATGTGTATACTTGCACTACACACAAAGCAGTGTGTTGTGCGTGTAGCATCAGTACTAAGCAAAGCACGGAGCCGCTCATCCTCTCTGAGGGGATGGATGGGGGTTGGCGCGCAGTGCCGCCATGGTGTCTGGTAAGGCGGGGTTTCGCGTCTCAGACCTCTGCAGCGAGAACGGGGCAATATTATATTGCATTAAGGCCCACACCAGCCACTTGACACAGCCTCTGGACCAGGTGTTTTTCAGGGCCATTATTAAGCCAGCGTGGCTAGAGGGGGTAAGGAAGTCTGTAACGGACACCACGGATATCCGTCACACTGAGGACGTTTGTCGGCGTCCTGAATTTAAAGCCTGGACAACAGTAGCTCGGCGATTCATCAAGTCAGGGCTGTTTCCCTACAACCCTGACGTTGTTCTCACAAGTGACAAGCTGAACCCAGCTGCACCTTCACAGGGTCCCCTGTCCCTACCCTCAACTTGTCATCCACCTCGTCTGCCTCTGCCCCATCCGCCTCTTCTGCTTCTGAACCATCCACGACGTCAGAAACTCGCCGTCACAGACTCAAGGAAATATTCTCCATGAACTTTAATCTTGGGGAGGAGAAGGTGAACCTGTACCTCAAGAGGTATGATAATGGATACGACCTCAAGATCGACCCCGACTACAACATATGGTCCAGCCTGATGGACAATATTGACCAACTGGCTTCTCCGCTCCCCCAGCCATCAACAAGAGCCCGGGAACCTCCTCCGGGGAGATGACTATCGACAAGGTGCTCACATTTCCGTCCTGTTCAAAGAACAAGACCGTTAGAAGACCCCAGCCAACAGTGCCCCCTTCCATCAGTGGAAAAATGACTGTAGAGAGATGATACTCACGAAGAAGAGGAAGGCGGAAGAAGAACAACTGCAGAAGGAAGAGAGAAAGAAGCAAATGGAGCAGAGAAAGATGAAACGGCTAGCACAAGCTGAAGACAAGAAGGAAAGCCAAAAAGAGAAGAAAAAACAAAGGGAGCTGGCAAAGAAGGAGAAAAAGGAGGAGAAGAAAAGGAGAATTCAGGAGAAGAAGATGAATTCTTTGGTTGTGGCCTCACAGAAAAAGAAAGAGGACGAAGATTCCTCTGACTCAGGAGAAGAGCCGGTGTACGACGACAGGTCCGACGATTGTGGGGACATTACGGTGGACTGTGCTGGGTGTGGAGCCACCACCGCAGGATAAGTAGTGGGCACCCAGTGCATGCTTTGTGACAAGTGGTGGCACGCCAACTGTGTCAAACAGATGGACCTGAAGGACAAGACTCAGGAAGACCTGGATGCCATGGACATTGAGCTCTTTTGCTGTGCTGACTAATCTCTTCTTCCCAATTTGTTTCATAGAAATAGTATAAACAATATATTTGTCTATCCATGTGCAATTAGATCCACTTGTCTCTACTTTTCTGTTCTTATATAATTTAATTCATGGTTTTCAGAGTTATCTAGACTCACTAATAGATTACTGTTTCCATTGTAAGTGTTGGCTTCAGTTATTTTTTGTTTTCTTTCTTTTTAGGCTATACATAAAAACTGAGTGTCTTTTGTAACTCTTAACTCTTGTGCCATGTGTAAGAATATTTCCTGCTTTGTGGTTAGAAAATCATACGTTAGCCTATAAGATTCATAATAAGAAGTTATTAGGGCATGTTGCAAGACCCGCCCTATCCTAGCGCGCAGCCCCTCCATAAAACGCACCACCCTCAAGCAGGAACGCGCATTCCCGCTCATTGTCGCACACACCCGCCCTAACTTTGCCTCACAAATACCACTACTGAGGGAGTCTGGCAAACAAAGCAGCGTAGCGCGCTGGGCCAACGATAGAAGACGAAATTTGCTCCTCATCAGTTATTGTGAGGTTACCTCCCTTTTCACCAGGGACTTGCAAGGTCACTTTTTATGCTAAGGATAGCGCAGACTACCTCCTCTACTCTAGCTCAAAAGAATGTCAGTACTATAAAATTTCTGAGTCCACAGGAAACTTAACAATTGGACAGCAATCACTAGTGAAGGACCTGAACAGGGAAGGGTTAAAGTTGTTAAAGTATTTCAGAATATCATACAAAGTAGAAAGTTTTAAATGAGATTTTTACAACTAGAAGTCTTTTTTTTTTTAGTAGAGGTTTTATGGCGCTGGCAACTGCATAAGGTCATATAAGCGCCAGAAGATTCGAGGTGTCACAAGAGAGTAACATACATAAAGAAGAAGGCACATCATAGTGTTGATTGACAGAGAAGAGAAAAGCAAGGCGTACAGGCAGCATTTTCTTACCTCAAGAATAGTCCAACAACATAAAAAGTTACATTTAGAAAAAAAACCCCCAGCAAGATGACAGTTGACAGACCTTGTCCCTGAGTTTGTGACGCTCTCGGTCGTGCCAGCTGAGGACGACAGACGTCGCTGACACCACAGTGGCTCTCAGCTTTTCAACTGTCGATGCAGGGTGGTGGGACTTGTCTCCTGATCAGGAACAAGACAGCAGCTTGTTAGAGAGTATTGCATTCCTTTGCCTTAAACATTTACGGGACCGGCCCCACATTTGACTTTCACTTTTTCACTATTTAAAGTGGGCCCTCTTTATTTAAATCGCAGGTGAAATTTTAAAACGACAAAAGAAGCTGTATGAAGTACCAAGTAAAAGATTTCGTTTTTAAGCTTAAAATTATTTGTATTTTAAATCGAAGGACATTTCTGCCTTCAGTATGCTAAATTACATAAGCGTAAATATGAAATATCAATCTCATGTCTGTAACAATCATCATTTTATGAACGTTTACACTTTAAAAAATTTGTTTTTGTGCGTTCTCTTTACAAATGTGCTAAATGAGTGATTCGGTCATTTTCATGACGATCATCATCATCAATGCCTTTCTCACCCTGCACCAGGGTATAGGCCACGGACAAACACCTTCCACCTATCTCTATCCTGGGCTAGCCTCTTGATGTTACTCCATGTCTTCCCACTTTTCTGTACATCGATACATCGATTTTTGTGATTCTTTTTCATGATGGCATACTTTAAACATTCTTTGCTCTATGCATGCAAAAAAAAAAATTAAATTTGTATCCTACATTGTTATCAACAACATCAACAAGTTTTGATTTTACAGGATAATAACTTTCTAAGCGTCAGGCCTCTAAATTGGCATTTTGTGGTGTAGAAAGCAAATATTGTTCACCGAAAAGCCATTTTCAAAACATTTTATGGGTCTACAGAATCTGAATTTTAAGCCTGAGGATTTTTTAGTCTCTGTATGTCTTAATATTGTCCTCGACTTCAAGAGGACATAATAAAAGAGTATGTGCATTGTCATTACCCTATTGTGTGACTTTTCAAAGTCCTGCTTTTTCCTCGTTTTGCATCCTGAGTGAAATGTTCTACTTTCTGAATGAATTTAAACCATGATAATTTTTTAAATTTATTGTCCAGTTTTAATTATTTAAACGGTTAAGATGAAGTAGCGAGCGCCGTAAAACTCTCTACTAAACCCCCCCCCCCCCCAAAAAAAAACGGTTAACTTCATAGTTTCTATGGCTTACAGATCAGATGGAGAAAAATCTACTTTTATGCAATTTTAATTTTTTTTTCTTTGTGGCACCTACTTTAAGGCATGTTTTTCACTTTACAGGCATAGATTCCTCAGTTAAACAATGAGAACTTGAAAAATCAATACTGATGTCCACCTTTTGAAAAAAGTAAATAAAATAGACCCATAATATATCTCTACAAAATTCAGGTCCTTGAAGTATTGCATTGATGCAGAAATGCTACAAAGAAGTATTGTCACGCACGGAGTCTTCACCCAAACAATTCTCAAATTGTTACCTTGACAATCTACCTCACCATTATTCTGACAATCCTTAAGCTTTTTGTTCATTGTTCATTGTTTCAGGAAGCAACATCCCTGCACTCCTGACATGTCCATTGATGCTCCGTTGCTCTCTCCAAAATGTCGTCGAGGGTCTTTCCACTGATTGTGCCAGTGCATATCTGGTTGAACGTTCTTCCGTTCTTTCCAGCAAGGATACCAGATTTTCCGCTTCATTTTTGTATTCCCAAAAGCAAAATCCTCTCCACGGCAGTACTGGCCTCTGCCTCCCTATCTTCCTCCTCAATCAGCTGGCAAGAGAGACATTTCGGATCTCGACCCTATCTGGATGAACTGTGTTGTCAACTGAGGTGGCCTCACCAGCCAGTCTGTCGGCTTTTTCATTTCCCCTAACACCTGCATGGCCAGGGCAGAAAATCCATGTGAGCAATCGTATAGGCGTTTCTTCGAAAGCTTGAATCCGTTCTAATCTCAGGAAACCTTTTTCAATCCTTCTGAGGGTACACATGGAATCAGTGATCAGAACAGCATGGGTCGTGTGGAGGCGATCTTGAGTCATCCAATAAAGTGCTTTCATGATGGCTTCAATTTCCATTCGCATATTTGATGTAGCCCTGCTGCAGGCTCCAGTTGCACTGTGTATGATTTTATTGTTGGCGAATGCAACAAATCCCCATCCACTTCGCGGGCTATCTCTTTTCACTAAACCATCTGTATCCCAACAGCCAAGAAAAGCTTTACCTCTCACCTCAGCTTTCTCAGGGTGCTGGGAGAAATCTAAATGCCCCCCCCCCCCCCAATGTTTTGATTCAACCTGACACTTAAACAGCTAAGAAAAGCATTACCTTTGGGCGTGGTATAGGAGACAACCTTTGAGCGAGGACCAAATCCCAAGTCCGTCATGGCCTGGATAAAGAAATAGTAGGTCGTCTCTGGGGTCAGGTTGTAGAACAGCTGTTGCCTCACGTCCTGATTGACCGCTGCTTTCTGGATCCAGTTCTTGTGCGGCTTGCTCGGGTCACTAGAGTACATCACAATGTACTCTGCGGAAGGTGCCAGGGTCACAGGTCAACTGATTTACTTTCATTCGAACACAAGTGATGCTTAATAAAGAGAACACTTCTACAGGTAGCATCTATCATGAAATAAACATCGCTATCCCATGAAAAATGAACGACTTCATTTTACTGAGGGAGCTTTAAGCTAGAGGGCCCGACTTCAGAAGGCTGCTGATTTGGTTTGTTTGTTTGTTTGAGTAAAGAGAAGCACATCGACACACTAATGGTCATTTAGTGCTCGGAAAAGACAAGACAGACAGAGAAACAACAGAGGGAAAGTAAAGAAGTAGGACCTACCAGCCTCCCGTGCTGCTGGATTAGGAAAATACAGAGGGAGCAATGAAACCTTGAAGTTCCTACTAATGACTTAATTATGAAATATCCAAATCTTAACACAAAAGTCATCCTTGATTCTGAGCACAATAAAAAAAATTGATTTATAGAACAAGACAGAACTCAAGTCCAATATTGTCTTGAAACAACACATGCAAGAGTGAACTAGGGAGACAGTGCAATGCGCCCAATTTTTATCAATTTTTACATTTAAAAAAAAGTGATTTAAGGCGCTCGCAACTGCACGAGGTCATATGAGCATGCCGGACACATTTTTTCAGTTGGTAGGATATTTTGAATTTTGAGGCCAAAGCCTGTTTTTATCGAATTTGAACCCCCAACGGATCTTTTACGTTAACACGCCACCTCCGAGATTTTTTGCCCTTATCCCAGAAGGCCAGGTGTGGTGTTAGATCTTTCCTACCAGAAGATCAGGGGTGTGGCTGAAAGATATAGCAGTAAGAAGGAGCCAAGGAGTAGCAGCAGAAAGGCTGCAGAAAGAGTCAGGAGCCCAGATGAGGGGGCAAAGGCGGTGAGGGAGTAGGGGCAGAAAGTGGAGATGAAAGCAGGTGAAAGAAAATTGATAGAGAGCAGGAAAGGAGGGGAAACAAGAAAATTTAGGAGAAGAAAATTTTCTGTCCCTTTCCAGATTCGAACCCGAGACCTATTCAAAGAGAAGCGAACACTGTAACCTCTAGACCACAAGATACCCTTCTCCCTCTGAGACCTGACATTGACAACACACTGTATGGGACATTACAGCAACTGCAGCAAACCTGCACTTAACACTACAAGGCATTGGACAGAAGGGCGAGAGTGGATCGATAACAAAAACAACAACAACAACATCTAGACCACAAGAGCCCCCCTAGTGTGCCCATTGTAAGACAATCTGTTATAAGGGTGGGCACACAAACCAACCAAAGACAGTCACCTCTTCTCACCAATCTAAACAACCCAATCTCCTGAATCCTCTCGTAACTTCAGGTGCAACTAAAAAAAAGACATATTATCATGAGATGGCTAATTCTCTACAAATAAAGTCCAAAATGAAAACAATGCTCATTTTTTGTAGACATAGGATGATAGACATGTTTCGTTTCATTTGTCAAAAAGAAATTCTTTTAGAACAACCTTTGCTCCTACTTTTCCATTATCAATCACTAAAAATAATCCTAAACTCTCTCTCTTGTCGATGTCGCTCACAATAATAATAATAATAATAATAATAATAATAATAATAATAATAATAATAAATAGTATTTGTATAGCCCCTACCCCCGCTCAACAGCAAGCTCTATGTGCTTTACACTAGATTATTACCCCAGCAGACCCTACAGCACTCAGAAACGTTCATGGCTTCCCGGGAAGCATATGACCATATTGATGTGAGAGTCTGTGTGGTGGTGGTAGTGGTGGGGTATTGCAGTATCTCAAGTATTGAAATATAGAGTACACTACCTTGTGGAGTCTTTGATATATATACAGTGCGTAACAAGTACAGTACAATACAGTCAAGGTCACCTTTGATCTTTGAGTCTGAGTGTGGCTGCCAGGACAAGACAACCACACCCGGCGACTGTCGTTGACCTCTCACCTCAGCCTTCAGAGGGTGCTGGGAGAAATCTAAAAGTAAAAAGAAAATGTTTTGGATCAAACTCAAACTGACATTTTAACAGACTCATGAAAAGTCACCACATTTTTTTGTGAAACAGAAATGTCTGATGAACACTACAAATCTTTCTTTTTTTTTTAATCCAAAATTTAAATTTAAAGACATCGTTGACTTTTGTATTCAAAAGACACACAGAGACGTACTCCATCATAGAAACTGTTAGTTATGAGGCTGACTGAAAGTGAAAGACAACCTAGTAACAGATAACTATACATGTTTTGCAAAACGTTTGAACCATTTCTTTTTGATCATAGAGCATACTGATACTGTGGAGCTTGGATATGCACCAAATAAATGCAATTATTATTATTATATTATTATTGAAGCAGAAAATCCCGGGTTCGGACACAAATTTTTTTCGCTCCCTCCTGCCCACCCAGCAGAAATAGGTACCTGACTTCGAGTTGGGGAAGTAAAGACAGCGTGGAAAGGAACTGGCCACCCTACTACAATATGCCGAAGGCCCAGAAAGTTGTCCCACTAACAAGGCAATCCCCAATGTCCGGATTGGATGCGGAAACAACTTTACTTTTTTTATTATTATTTTTATTATTATCATTATTCCTATTATTATTACTACAATCAAATACTGGTAACTCAAATTTGTCGAGGATTGGAAATAGTGTTCGAAATTTTCGTACTTCGTCATGCCCCAAATACAATGATGTAGAAAGACATTGATGACGAAGCAAAACTTGGTGAATGTTCAGAAGAGTATCACAACTAAAATGGAATTATGGCAAAATAGATATTGAATGGGCTGCCAGACTAACAACCCTTTGGTGACTAATGCAATTTCCAGACTGGGCCTGACAGTGTATTATAGGGAATGGCGTTTTACACATATTATTTCCTTGCTTCGTCGCGTCGAAATATATACCCAGCTGAAGACAGTGAAAGATCTTGTGGGTGAAAAGTCTTGTTTGAGAGCCTGCAAAACGGCAGCTTGCTCTGATTGCTTCCCAGGAAGCTGAGAATAATTTGGAGTGTTATTTATAGGGTCTGTAAGGATAATAAAAAACTGTAAAGCACATCAAGCTCATTTTCCTGCAGGGTTATACGTTATGAGAATGCATTTGTGAGGCACTACGGTGAAATCAGGCACTCGTCAAAATGATGAAATTGAAGAAACCAACTTTTTCCCCTCCCATTTGACAATGTTTATCAATCTTTTTTCGCGTGCTCAATTACTTTGATGTCCATTTAAAATACACATTTCTGAGAGAATTCTACTGGAAAATATTTATCACAGGCATACAAAATGTAAATTTGCAGTTTTCAATTCAAGGACACTCAAGCGTTAGAAGTAACAAAACTTTGGCTGCTATTTTCTCGCCAATTTTACCTGACCCAAAATGACCCTCACCTCCTTTAATCAAAGATACCTCGACTTCTATTAGAGACAGATGAATATTTTTTTTTTAACAGAAAGCAAGACAAATGAACAAGCTTGAAGATGATACTAATAACTCCACATGACCAAAAAATTGACGAGCACCTGATTCCACCACCCTGTCTCACATTTGATCTTTACCACTATAATTAAATAAAGAATCTCACCAGCAGCAAAAGTTGTGTTCTCCACAGGGACACTCCAGTCTGACATTTCCTTCCCACGATGCACTCTGACGGAGAACTCGTAGCGGGTCAGGGGTTGAAGGTCAACCAAATACAAGGACGTAAATGGTTGAGACACCAGCTTGAACTGGGATGGTTCCGGGTCTAGACTTCGGTAGCGGACTGTGTATCGAGGAGAAGGTGAAGAAGTATCCTGGAAATACAACCGTTCAGGTCAAGACAAGGAACTACATTTGAGATCAAGATCACTTTTAAACTATATTTTAGCTTGGGCGCTGGCTTAAAGAAGTGCCATTCAAAGTTAACATGTACTAATTGGAAAATTAGTAAATGAGTAATATTTTTTTCAACATCGACAGACAAAAATGAACAAGCTATAACTAGACTGAAATTTTAACAAGAGGCTCACCTCAAACACTTTAGCCAAGTGGGGATCTTGCCAGCTCAGCACAGCTGAGGTGGAGGACAGGACAATGACCTGCAGCTTCTTGGGGGCCTCTATGGTGGACACATCCTCTTCTTCATCTGACCAGGGAGACCAAGAAAATCAAATTTTCACATTTTCTTCGTACAACTCTTTAATCACACAAGTCGTTTCTTTTTAGAAAGAGTTTTATGGCACTTGCAGCTCAACAGGGTCATATAAGTGCCAAAGATTAGAGGAGTTACTAGATAGAAACAAACAGATATAAAGAGGAAACTGATAAAGAAAATAAACGTTTGACAGGGAACAACGAGCAAACCCCAACAGAGCACCCCCCTCCCCCCAACCACCCACACAAGCCTACTGAAATAAAGGTGGTAGACAGACAAACTTGTCCAAGACGACCACCCAAAGAAAAGTGGTCATCTAAGACAGGGGGTGGGGGGCTCTCGTGGCCTTGAAATGAAGGCGTTCGCCTCTCATTCAGAGGGTTCAAGTTCAGGCAGCGACGGAAAAATTTTCTTCTCTGAAATTGTCTCTCTCTAGCAATGTTCTGTCATCTGCTTTCGTCTCCACTTTCTGCCCGCCCTCCCCTCACCTCCTTGGCCCCCTCCTTTGAGCTCTTGACTCTTTCTACAGCCTCTCTACTGCAAATCCTTGGCTCCTTTTTTCTGCCGTCTTTCAGCCTTTCCCCTGATCTTCTGGTAGGAAAAATCTACACCTAGCCTTCTCAGACAAGGGCGAAAAAAATCAGAGGTCCCGTGAGCAAGTTGCGCACGTTCAAGATCCCTTGGTGGTCTAAAATCGAAAAGAGTAGGCTTCAGCCACCACCCGTGCAAAATTCAAATTTTCCTACCAACTGAATACGGTTAATGTGTCCCACGCGCTCATATGACCTTATGCAGATGCGAGTGCCGTAAAACACTTACCCCCCCAAAAAAAGGGACAGGAGGTCCTCTTGGACAGTGTTGTTATAATATAGAAAAAAAAGCAAGGATGGGGAGTGGGAAATCATCGTCTGTACTTGTGCTTGTCTTGGACAGGTGGTCGTTGGACCAAGTCTGACTGTACTTAGTTATACAAGAGTAGCAGCTACAGAAAGATCATTTCAGACAAAATTCATTTAACTGACCCTTTGTAGGAAGAAATTGCCAGTGTGATTTCAACAGCTTCTTGAACATAAAATATGCATAAACATATGAAGGGCTGAGATACAAAACCCAGTAAGCAACATTTAAAAAAAAAAAAAAAAAATGTTTGCTTATAAATGCAGATTTGTTACCGGTTATCAGATGCATAAAGTGTTTTCGGCCAAAACCCAACACCTACTTCATAAAAGCCCCCCAAAAATCTTTTTACGCATGTTCGTGCGAATAGCAGCATTTATAAAAGCTAATTTTCTCATAAGTGCTAAAATGGATGTAGCGGGGTTTGCACATGAGCCCCTCATATCTCTCTCTCGCTCCCTCCCTCTTTACTATTATAATGTATACTGACAAACTATGGAAAAACACAGCACACACAAGAAATGAAGTATGAGAGTACGGGGGTTCAGCAGCTCAACAGGTATTCATTTGCCCATCAATCTGCAGGTCCAGAGTTCAAACCCTGACAGCTTTGGGTATTTTTTCATGTTTTCTACACCACCTGATCAACAGGTAGGATCAAGTACGCAATCTTCTCCGATTAGGACACAAAATTGCGGTAGACCCATGGGGAAGTTTGGCTCTTGACGGTTCTAAAACAGACAAAAGTAGGCCCTTCGGATTGTCATCTCATCATAATTCAAAATTAATTCAAACCCAAGGTTGAAGCCCTTCTATTGAGTACCTTCCAAAAAGTCAAATGTGCACCTGTCAGGCAAGCATTGATTCTGCCTCCCATATATATAAAACAGAATGTACATAAAAATCAACAGCACAGTGAGCTGAAGTTATTACAGTCACATACTCGCTGAGCTCTAGCAGGGGTACCAGAAAAAAGAAGACTAAGTGCAGATTCATTAACCAATTTTTCCTTCAGATATAGTGATATGAAATCCAATTCCCACTCCTATGTGACACAAGGTTATTAGTGCAACACTGACATTCCAGATGCATCAGACAAAGTCAATCTCATTTTCAAAACCGTAAAGAATCTCAATAAACTAAAAATATTTAACCCCCGATCAACCACGAGGCCGGTTATTTTGACTCAGCCTATCAGGGCTAACCCAGGCTAGGAGGGATACAACATCCTGGAAAACACACAGGAGTAAAATAACTTCCTCACTCAAGAAATGAACTCCATCTCCTGCATGCAACAGCAAAGAGCCAAACTATTACATTACAGATGCCCATCCCATTTCCTCAATCAGTAACAAAAACTTTGATGAAACCAACAACAAACCATGAAGAATCTGGAAGGCTACTGTATTGGATTCCGGACCAAATCCCACAGAGGTATGAGCCTGGATTTTGAAGAAGTATTCCTTGCCCGGTTCCAAGTTCTCTATCACTGCTGTTTTCAGATCTTTGCCAATCTTAGATTCGACCTCCCAATGGACGTGTTCGATGTTCATCTCCGACGTGTATAAGATCACAAAACCTACACAAGGAAACAAAAATGAGTGACACAATGACTTCCTCTAAAAATACTAGACAAACTCCTATGAGGCAGTGCAAGCCATTGTTTTTTTTACGTTTACAAATAATACACAGAAACCTACAATCTAATGTGTTTACTTCCAACCTGCTATGAGACCTTATGGTGTCACGAAAGGATGATAAAACTAAACTCAGAATGTGTTCCATACAGTTATATAAATTTTGCAGACTTGCAATATAGAACACCTGTATTTTTTTTAAAATGTCCGTATTCTTAGCATTGGTAGCTGTCTTCCTCCCAGGCGGGAAATATGAAGTTGCTTATTATGATAACTGTTTGGATTTCACTTTATCAGTAGCTTGAAAGCCAGATCTTTTTCAAATAAGTGGACACAATCTACGACAATCAAAATTAATGTGCCAGGAAAAAGGGTCACCGATGAAACAGATAATACTTGAGCCAGAACAAAATAGGCAGGAATAATGAAAACAAGCACTCTTAGAAAACTATGCTAATGAAAATGCCTCATTTTTGTTGCACGGTTTTCACCAGGTCTCCGTGAAAATGGTCTAATTTTCCCAGGAATAGATAAAGGACAACATCAGTTATAAACAAAACAGGAGAATGACCAAAAATACTTCATAAGACCCCCCAACCAACAATCCACTAAAAGATAACAACTTGATTACCCAAGATGTTAGTGTTGGCAGTTCCCGGGAGATCCCAGACCAAGGTCACGGCCGTTGGGTTGCCCGCTGTGGGCAGAGCAGCTAGGGATGCAGGTACAGGAGAGGGATCTGGGGAGATGAATGGAATATTACTTAGACCAAAATGTCAAAGAGATCAAAGTCACGTTTTCAGATTTAGAGACATTCAAATTTCAAAGTTTCAAACACTCCATAATTTCACTGTTGTACAATTGTCCCCTCTCGATGAAAAGGGACTTCAAATTTTCCCCTCTCGTTGACATTTAGCCAAGAATGCGTAGTCGCATCTAGATCTACCACTACTTGACAATTGGAACGCAGTGTGATGTTAATCATTCCTTGGTTTAAATTTAACTAAATGGGGGGAAACATTTTTTGGACATAACAGCCTTTTTCGAACATAACATATTAAGATTTGATCACGACATAAGAAAACTTAAATGAATTCGTCTCATCCATCATACAGTCCAGCTCTTGCTCCTTTGCACCTTTTCTTTTTCACATGGCTAAAGGGAACCACAAATGCAGATGCAGTGGCCCGCTTTCGTTTGTGATGTTGACGAAAGTCTGCTGATTTCTTCACTACCAGAATGCACCGGCTAGTCCAGATTAGGTGGCTCTGTGTGGATCACAGTGCAGACTGTTCCAAAAAATAAAGTAAGCTGTGCGTATCTAAGATTCTAAGCTTTTTGTTTGGTGTGTCAAGTGGGCAAAAAGTATTGAAAATAAGAAAGCCATGCCCAAACAGCCATTACTTTTCAGCCTGACAAAAACCAAATGAACTAGATATTGCCTGAAAATGAAGACAATGCTTTCCACAAAAATCAAACGTACTGTACATTCTCTGAAAAATGATGGCAACGTTTTACATCTCATCAACAGAATTGAAATCATATAGGTGTACTGCTTCAATCCTGCCTGAGTGGGATAGCGCAGCTCATAAAAAAACAGAAAAACTCAATAAAACACGCTCTCCACATCAAGTCTTTTGCACAAACACTGAAGAGCCAGGCCATTACATAATAGATGCTGATATTGTACATTCCATCGCTCAGGATAATTCCCACGAGATCATCTGTAGACAGACTCACAGCACAGGTGAATACAGCAGCATACTCAAATATTTTCTAAACACTCTTTTGTTTGTTTGTTTTGTTTGAGTAAAGAGGGGCATATCAACACAATATTGATCCTTTAGTACTAGGAAAAAGGTAAGACAGACAGTAACAACTGAGGGGAAGTAAAGAAGTAGGACCTACCACAGTGGCATCCTCTAACCATCTCCACACTTTTAACAAATATTTTTGTTTAATCGGTTGTTGTTTTTGTTTCAACCAGGACAAAACCCATCTAGAAACTGACCAGAAATGCATCCTTTTTCTCTCATGAGTTTTCCTCAATGGTAAGCTTTGCAATGTACAAAAAAAAGATCTTTCACACTAAGCTATTGCCTCCTTTTCGTTTATAGTGAGGAAAGTGTATCAGATCAGTCTTCAGCAGTCAAGTTTTATATTTACATGAACTGAAGAACTCTTCTTTGAATAACAGCGATAGGTAGGAAATGTTGAAATTGAAACGTGGCAGGAAACAAAACTCACCACCAGGCAATTTGTAGTCCTTGATAGTAAAAGGAGGCCCAAGACCCCGGCTGTTTCTGGCCTTGACTGACAGGTCATATGTCACACCCGGTACAAGGGAGGTCAAGGTCACAGACAGTTTGTTGCCTTTTGTCTCCATGACCCCAACCAATGGCTGACCGTCAACGGCCGCAGTGCTATAGGACACTTCATACCCTGGACACAAGAGAAATAACAGCAAATCAAATCAAAGACTCTTCTCCTCGACTTTGAATGAGAATTTAATTACTGTAATTGACTGAATGTATTTTCGACATGAATACGAGACAAATGCAAAGACCAATCAGTATAATTAACTATCAGCTGAAAAAAAAAAAACAAGTCACTTTTGTCATCTCAAAGAAGAGGAAAATCACTGTCCACCATGCCTTTATTTCAATATTTCAAAAGCATCATATTGACTTTACTGCCTAAATCCATCATAAAGAAAAAAACAAGATAAGGTGAATAATTCAGCAACGTACATCTGAAATTCTTTTTTAAAACTCCACAGTCCAAAATAGACAACAGCATAATGTGAGTAAAATTTGAGACTTCATTATTCAAGCTTTAGAAGACAAAAGATTCCTTGCATCTAGAATAGCTAAAACTGCTTCAGTGATGCTAATGACAAAAAGTCAAAAAGGAGGAAAATCATCCGTGCTATGACCAAACTAAGGGAGGAAGAAGCCTGTATGAAGCGAGCGTGGAAACAGCGTGCAAATGAATGAGAATCGAGAATACAGAAAGCCATCCAAAACGAAAACAAAGAAATCAAAATATTGTCACACACCATTTCAATGCGGCAAGCGAGATGGCGATGACCGCTTTGCGGAATTAAGAATTCCCGCTCGTGGAACTACATTTTTGCATACATCGGTGGCCCAACTTTCGTGAGACCAAGGAGTATGCCAGATCGCAGGGAAATTTCCTCAGAAGGCTCAAAAACTCGGAATCCCTCGGATCCGAGGAAGATTAGTATCATGGCTGCTTCGAAAGGGGCTAAGAGCTCAAATAAAAATTCTGACCCCTCCCATCTTGCCTGTCACAATCCCATTGGCCTGGGTGGGCGGTTGCCAGTTGAGTGTCACCTGACCAGGACTCCCGGGGTGAATGATGACATTCAGGTCCTCTGGAGGAGTGGACGGGACTGGGGACAACAGACAAGACATGATGAAACATAACCTGCCAGTGAGCCTGTGTGCTGGTGTGTGTGTGTGAGTGTGTGTGTGCGTGTGAGAGTATATGTGAATGTGCGTGGGTGTGTGAGTGTGCGTGAGAGAGAGTGTGAGATAGAGAGAGTGTGTGTGTGTTTGTGTGTCTGTGAGTGTGTGTGTATGTGTGAGTGTGTGTGTGAGTGTGTGTGTGTGTGTGTGTGTGTGTGTGTGTGTGTGTGTGTGTGTGTGTGTGTGTGTGTGTGTGTGAGACAGAGAGAGAGAGTGTGTACGTGTGTGTGTACATGTGTGTGCGTATGTGCGTGTGTGAGTGTGTGTGTGTGTGAGAGTGAGTGAGTAGTGAAACACCAAACCAATGTGCCAACATCTGGAAAATAAAGATTTATTTTATTATCTTCACCTCATCACACAATAACAATATTAAGAAGAAGAAAAAGAAGAAGAAGAAGAAAAAGAAAAAGAAGAAGGAAAAGAAGGAGAAAAAATAATAATTTATAGCTCATCTCATGCTCTGCAGTAGTATGTTCTATGCATTTTACAACTATCATAACCCAGCAAGCCCAAGAAAAACTCAAAAACATTCTCAGTATTCTAGTAAGCACACAACGCAAGCAGCCAATTAAAGGGGGGGGGGGGGCGTGGCGGTGTTCTATTCCACCTAAATATGAAGCTCACAAGGGTGTACCACAAAACAACCCTACACCTGAGTTACTGAAAATTGATGAATAACTCTTGAAAGTCTAATTTTAGTTGTTGTGAATAGTACATCTTGAACGCTAAATCATTTTCAGGCATTAAATAGAAAGGATTTTTAAAGGGAAAAAGGGCTACATATAAAATTCTCCCAAACATTCAACTTCTGAGAGGACTTGAGCAGTTTCACTCCAGGAAAATGCGACAGACTTGAGTGCACACCTGAACATACTGTCTATCTTTACCCCCCTGAGCACTGAATGCACACCTCAACCTGCAGCAGTGTAAAATGGGCGGTCGACCCAAGATAGGAAATGGTCAAATGATATAGGTTTAATGCCCCTATCAACATTATAAGATAATTTATGAGGCGGGATCTCCAAGTTTAACATCCATCTCCGAAAGGACTGAGACAAATAGGAATTTCGTGTAAAGTGCCTTAGTGTCTTTCCCAAGGACACAGCATAAGACCTACCTGACGCTCGAATGAGCAAAGATAGGTCAGGAGCTCTGGTTCAGTTCGGGTTCAGTAAACTCAGAGGAACAGGGTTAAAAGGGTGAAGGTCCATATTTACAGTACGCAGCACAACAACTGTTTCTCTTCTGATTACGACAGTCGCTTCAGAGGAATGTCAAACACTTACCAGCTTCTCTTGTGATGTTCCACACCATCATGGACCAAGTACTGTTTTGCTTGGTGTTAGAGGCGAGAACGGCAAACTCGTATTTAGTGAAGGGCAACAGTGTGTCCACCACAAGGTACGAGTATTTTGTCCTCAGAGTCTGGAAGCGGTTGTGGGGAGTGGCGGGCGAGGACATATGGTTGAGCTGACGGTAGCGCAGGAAGTACTCTCGCTCTTCTGTCTGTGCGGTTTCTTGCTTCCTGCAAACATCGAGCAAATACTACATCATTTTGAGTTTGAGTTTCAGTAAAGAAAAGCACATTGACAGAGCAATGGCCCTTTTTGGCAAAGAAAAAGCAAGACAGACCGACAAGAATGACTGAAGGAAAAGAAAAATAGTGTGCCATCGGGCATTAGATTACAGTGTACTGAGTGAGTGAAGAATCTAACTTTTCTCACAACTTCGTTGTATTAAAAGCAGAAAAACTCCTCTAGGTCTCATTAAGATAAGTTTTAAATGCTCTGAAAGATGGAAAAACCAACCCCCTTTCAAAAAGAAAAAAATCCCCAAATGAAAAAACATCCACTGTGAGAAATTTGAATACCAACATACATGCATATACAGACCATCAATGATTTATTTATAGAGGCACGAGCCATTCATGTCCAGGTGCTGTTTTAGCCTATGCATAAATAGATACATAAATTCATCACCGTCATACATCATAAAATATCAAACTGATAGAAAGAATCTCACAAACATGCGATATCTGGTCACCAGTAAGCAGTCCCCTAATTTTGAGCTAGGTTTATCAGATTTTTCTCTAGAAAATTCCCCAATGACCAACATTATAGTGAGCGGGAGGTCACATATCATGTTTTTTAGCAATCATTTTACAGCACTTGCCACACAATAAGGTCAAGTAAGTGCTGAAGATTAAAGTGTTACAAGAGAGTAACAAACACAAAATAGAAGGTGGCGATATCAGGATGATAGATGTATGATACGAAAAAAGGAGCAAACCACACCTGAGCACCCCCCCCAACCACCTGCACTAATCACTCATTAACTGTATTCAGTACTGGATAGTGGAACATGAACCAATGTACTTACATGGCCATATCCATCCAGGTAACATTGATAGCATGGGCAGACTGAACTATTGCCCTCAGGCCAACCGGAGGGAAAATAGGCTTGAATTCATCTGAAAAAATATAGTCACCAATGAATATATACATGTCCTACAATAAATGCCCAAAGTATTTTAATTTAGGTCTATACTTCAAACAGCAGGAGTGGAGGCAGTAGTAGCTGAAGAGGCAGCAACAGCAGCATTAAACAAGCTCTTCACCTCTCCATTATTACCACTTGCATCATCATCACTATCTCCATATTTTTTAATTTGTACCAGCAAACACTATTTCACGTTTGCGTTTCCTAGACTCACAAAAGAACAATTTTCAATAATGCTTCGATCTAACATTGTTGTGCAATAGGTATGTGGCATTTTTTAAATAATCAGGACACAGTTCATATATCTATTAATGCATAAAAAGGAGCAAATAGACACAATTATGGTCATTTAGTACAGGGGAAAAAAGTAAGACATTTTTATTATTTTTTATAGTAGAGTAACTGCATAGGTCATATGAGCATGCGGGACACACCTAATATTTTCAGTTGGTAGGAAATTTTGAATTTTGCCCGGGTGGCGGCCGAAGCCTACTCTTATCGATTTTAGACCACCAAGGGATCTTTAACGTGCGCAACTTGCACACGGGCCTTCCGAGATTTTTCGCCCTTGTCCGAGAAGGCTAGGTGTAGATCTTTCCTACCAGAAGATCAGGGGTGTGGCTGAAAGACTGCAGTAAGAAGAAGCGAAGGAGTAGCAGTAGAAAGGCTGCAGAAAGAATCAGGTGCCCAGAGGAAGGGGCAAAGGAGGTGACGGGGTGAGGGCAGAAAGTGGAGACGAAAGCAGACGACAGAACATTGCTAGAGAGCAGGAAATGAGGTGAAAGGAGACAAATTTAGAGAAGAAAATTTTTTGGTCGCTACCCGGATTCGAACCCAGGACCTTTTGAGTGAGAGGCCAACACCTTAACCTCTAGGCTACGAAAGCCCCCAAAGTAAGACAGATAGCCAGGAAATGTAAGAGGGAAAGAATGAAAGTGGTGCGCTCTAACCATCCACTCGGGACAGAGGACATGAAAAAAAAAAAATGGTTAAAGCTTCAAATGGCTGATTACTGCAGTTGGCAGCTAATCAGGTCAATAAGTACCAAGTTGTACTAAAAACAGATAGCAACATGAAATAATGCAGAAAAAAACGAGGACTGTGCTAGAGTTCCTCCAACCATCTATTACAGAGATGGTGAAGGTGAGAGAGACAAGATATGAATTGAAACACATATAGTAAAACAAATACAACATAACTTCAGAATGGAGTGCTTTGGATCGTTTTGCTTTTTACTAGCCCCCTCTTGACACAAAACGGAAAGAGAGAGAAATATGGTGAAAAATTGGGGGGGGGGGGGGCGCAAGGTAAGGGGCATAGAGAGAGCTAGTGTGTGAGGGGGGGGGGGGAGAAGAAAGGGAGAGGAAGGGGAAAAGTATGGGAAGACGAAATGGGAGATGGAGAGGGAGGGGTGAGAGAGGGGGAAAGAGAGGAGAAGAGGGAAGGGGGAGGAGAAATGGGGAGAGGAAGGGAAAAAGGAAAGGGAAAGGAAAAGGAAGACGGACAGGGAGGGGAAAGAGAGGGGAAAAGAGAGGTGAAGAGAGGAAATAAAATGGAAAGGAAAGGAGAAAGAAAAAAGATATATGAATGAAACAGTTTCATGAGTAATTTGATCTCTCTGCAACCTTTTTTTTTTAGATGTAATATACTTATCAGACAATACTTACTTTGTCCATCAGACATTGATCATAAAAATGAAAAAGAGGCAACCTTTAAATTAATTAAATTGACGGGTAAAATCGTGTCAAGTGGTACTTCAATACAAACAAGGTGGAAAAAAGTATATATATTAAATTAAACACACCTCCATCTGGGATACGAGTGATCACAGTTTCGTACAAGGCTTGACCAGCGCCCATATGGTTTTGAGCCCGTACACTGATGACATACTCTCGTCCTGGCTCTGCATTGACAAGACCAGAACAAAGTATGCACGATTACTTGCAGAAACATTTTCAAAATGTAAGCATTTGCTCCGAACTGATTTACCAAAACTCTTGGCTAAAACAGCACCTGGACATAGATGGCTGGTGCCTCTATAAATAAATCATTGATGGTCTGGTCTGACTGATTTACCAGTCACATGAGCTAAAACAAAGACTAGTTGTTCCAAATAAATAACAGAATGAAGCAGGGGGAATTTTTGTAACTGAATATGCAGATAAAATAGAGATTGATTTATTGCCAAAATTTTATGACCCCCCCCCCCAACCTAAATCAATGCAATCTAGATCATTTTGGAAAAAGGCTGCATCAAAGGCTGCGTCATAACAAATCAAGGCTGAACTAGATACAGCATCCCTGCAGACATACAGAAAAACTCAATAGAACAAACCCCCCCCCCCCCCCCCTCCCACAATAGTTGAGGTCCTATCGTCCATGGGGTAACAGCAAAAGGGCCTAACTACTACAGCACAGATGCAGTGAAAATAAAGAATGAAGCCACGTCCCCTAGCTTATCATGAAATAGTAAAGCAAAATTTCTCCCTTTACTTATCAATACCCATTTATTTTGACCAAGTTTTGATTTCAGCCCCGAAAAAGTCAAGTAATATGATAAAAACAAAGAAGGCTGCCTAACTAGATGTATTGATCTTTTACCTTGAGAAACTGGTGAAAAAAAATTAACCTCTTTTATCATGGAGATGATAGTTTCTCCTACTAAATTTACTATAAACATTTGATTGACTGTTCAATTGTACATATTCTACACTCCATAGACACAAAAATCATTTTGACGGACAGACTGCTATGCAAAGCGTACGGATTGGAATGATGAGTAATTTCCTCTTTGGAAAGTGGTGGCACACAGTTCCCCATGTCGTACGGATACGATCGTAAAACATGACATACGGATAGGGTTTGACCCTTCCTCCTAGGGCCAACAAAAGCTGACTGTGACTGGGATACAATATCTCAGCAGACAGACAAATACAATCTATAAAATAATTTCCTCACATGAACATAATACATAAGTTTGCAATATGCGATATAATCATATAGTTTGTTAAGAAATCTGTACACAAGAAAAACAGAAAATTATGAAAACCACATATGTGGCAATTACTGACATGAAATAAAATCCAAACCAGCAAACATCAGAGAGAGGGATAAGAAAAAGAAAAACTTCATCAGGAAGGCTTACTGAATTGCAAAGTGAAGACAAATAGTAGTCATGCAACATCGTAAAAAGAGCCTGCACTTCCCCACCTTTGTACACATACATTTAATTTGAAAAAGTTACTGTAGTTAATGATGTCAAATTGAATAAAAGAGAAATCTTTAACGTACCAAGATTTTCTATTTTGTACGAGAATTCAGAGGCATTGACTTCCACAGCATCCACATCAGGAAAGCCCCTGCCATAGCCTATCTGGTATCCTGTGACGGGAACTTCGTTACCAAAAGGATCTGGCTGAGGTGGGGTCCATGTGACCATCACAAACGTCGTGTATGGCACAACATGGATCTCTGCTGGTCGAGGAGGCTTCTCAGAAATCTCTGTCAACCAAAATACATGCACAAGTTCAGAATATTTGTTGAAGTTTCTTGTGCAGTCGATGAAATTCAGGGGAAAATAATTACAACAGGATTAACCCCTTTCCTGACAGCTCCTGAATATCGTACGTCCAACATTGTGTGCCAAGATGCTGTCCCCCCGTCCAGTGTACGTCCTAATATCAGCCGATTATGGCAATCATGTGGACCTTACTTCGAACATCATACGTGATTTTATAACAGTTCTACAATAGCTTTGAGCGACCTGGCTAGCAAAAATTGGGAGCAGCAAAAGGTGGAAAAACCATAGGTCATGGAAGGGTTAAAAGGCACACCATTACAGTCAAGAGTATTTAATTTTAAAGAGGCTTTTGTCAAGGTCAACAGAGAGATTGATTGTAAACTCTAAGGCCCCAATCTTCCCCTTCATTCCCTCTCCCCCCTCCCCTCATCCACCCTTTGAAACAGTTTATACCATACATGAGCCGGAAAGCTGGGAGCTTTGAACCTGCCGCCACTACCAACCCTAGATAAGTTTCGTCACTTCTCCCAAAAGGGTTATATCACATTCGGATATATCATGCCTAAACGTAGCCATGACAGAAAAGAAGCCTGAAAATGTTATTCACTGAGAAAAGCAAGAACCATCGAGAGATAACAATCTTTGAATAAGTGACTGCAACAAAGCCTTGAGCTAGGAGAAAATACTTAAGCTCAAAGAGCATTACTAAGAGCGCCCACCAAGATTTGTTTGTAAAAGCTTCCATTGACAGTGCATCACAGGAGAGTACAAATACGTTATGACCGAGAACACAGACAAGCCTTTGTCAAGAGAAACTTCCTTTCAGATATAAATACTGTAAAACTGTAGTTTCTTTCCATGAGCACTGCACATCAGTAATTTATTAAACAGAAGAATAGCTAAAGAGCCATTAAAAAGACTTGACAGAATTTGTGAGAACTGTATATCGCTAAAAGTAAGAGTAAACTCTTTCCCAAGAAAACCACCAGTAGAATAGCAAATAATCCTTTTGGATTTGCTGCTGTCACAAGAAAAAAGTGACCACAAAAATCTGCAGTTACTATTTTTTGTTGCAACAGAGACGATACAATCATTGTGAGAGAATACCTCTGTGGTCCTTTTTCTTCTTATTTCTTTTCTTGTCTTTCTTGCCAATCTTCTTCCTCTTTGGAATCTTTGCCCTTGTGGCATTCTCCCCATCATGTCGTCTCTGCTCGCTGACCGCGTTCTGAACCATGATCAGTGTCGAGCTGGAGTCACAACGACGGTTGATGGCCACAGTCTAAGAAAGACACTTGTTTGAGTACAGAGAAGCATCACGACAAGAAAATGGGGGGGGGGGGGGGGGGAGCCAGATAGACAGACAGACATAACAGAAAGAAAGAAGGGAAGGTGACCTTATATATAGTGGAGCCTTCAAACTGCTTGCAAAAAAAACAACAACACACATTCAAAGTTCACAAAATGAATTATTATCTAATTCTGACCCTTCCAACAAACCTGTGCCTGGTGCTACACAACAGCATGTTCAAGTAAAGAGAACCATATTGACACACTAAAAAATTTGAAGAGCCCACAGGAAAAACGGTCATAGTCACAAACTGAAAATAGTGAAGATCATAGCTCTCAAAACAATTGACTCCTACCCTAGTGATTCAATCCATATTTACATTGACGGGCCAGCCTTCAAGGGAACTATTTATTAAAGCGGGCTCTGGAGTAAGAATAGAACATCCTGACAAGATGTGTGAAGAACTATTTGATGCCTGTGGTACTTCTTGTACAAATTATGAGGCTGAGGCCATCGCCATTGAAGCAGTAATCCTCCACCAGACCAACATTTTCATTATATACCCAGACAAAATCAAGGAAACTGTAATCTTCACAGATGGAAAATTAGTACTCCAAGCCTTGGAAAACATGAATTTTGAAAGCCCAGCTTGCCTCTCTATGGCTAAAAAATTAACACCTTCATGCAGACCTATGCCATCGACCTGACTTTACAATGGATACCTGGCCACAGCAACATCCCAGGAAATGACAGAAGAGACACTCTTGCCAAGAAAAGAGCATCACAAAAACAACCTTAAAACCCAGTATCACAACAGACAGTCAAGAACATCATCAAATGCAACACCAGGGAACAGTGGCTGAATGGATGGGCATTGGGCAAAACTGGAAGAGCTGTATTTGCACACATGACCGCTCCCAACTCAAAAGATGCACTAAATTCCCCCAGCAGAAGAGAACAAGTCAATATCTTTCAATGCGAACAAAGCACATCACACTGAATTCCTACCTAAATAGGATCCGCAAGGATCACCCCACCTGACTGCCTATGGTGTGACTGCCAGGGTGAAACAGTGTCACACCATCTCTTTACCGGCCCAGCACTTAACGACCTGCGTAGCACCTATCTACCTGCCTCCCCAGATATCAGAAATACTTTATACAGCGACAAAGCACAGCTGATAAAAACCTGTAAATTCTTTGCCATATCAACAGGCTGAAGTGCTAGAACCCAGATGACTGCTGGGCCGGAAAAGTAAAGTAAGTAATAGCGAAGATGTCAATTATAAAAGCTTGTGGACTATTAACTTCATATGTGTTTGACTGGTGGTTTATTGTTGTTTGTTGAATAGGAAATCAAACAACAATAATCAACCAACAGTTGAACAGATATACAGTAATGAGTCAACAAGTTTTCAACATTGATACTCTCACAGTTTTCAGTTTGTGACTATGCACACTTTCCCCTTGTGCTCTTCATTTGTGTTGTGACTTAGTGGAATCAGGAACTGTCAGTTTTGGGGCATACAGAATTAGCGGTATCATCTTAAAGCTCGTTGATTCGACTTTCTTGTGATTTGAGTACTTTTAATCATTTTTTTCTCCAGTAAAATCCACACAAAATTTTTTTTTAGGGGACATAAAAAGTGATTTTCATGCTTTTCATGATACCTGAGAGGAACAACAAGACAAAAATGTTTTTTGTCTCCGGTGTAATAAGTAACCAAACAGACTAAAATGCATTGCTTGCGACACCAACAAAACGCTCATAATTATCACTGTCCCTCAATATAAGTCAATTGAAATTGTATACCCCCCTTTTCCACCTTCTCTGGGCTCCTGACTCTTTCTGCAGCCTTTCTACTGCTACTGCTTGGCTCCTTCTAACTGCTGTCTTTCAGCCACACCCTTCACGTCGTCACTTTTCGCCCGATTCTGTTACTTTTAGTTCGCGTGACTCAGCAGTAATGAGCCCTGAAGCGACTTTGCCGGTGTCGGTTAGGAAGTTCTAATTTTTGACTATGTTTAAAACGATATAACTTCTTCCCCATTCCACATAGCAAACCATTACGTGGATGTACTAAAAGCTCAATGTCTTGAGCTTTATTCTGCGTTAGAATGGTTAATTTCTGTGCCTTAGTTTGTTCTAGACAAGTGTTTGTAGAGTACCCAATTTGTCCTATTTTAGTTACAAACTTATGAATAAAAGATTGTTAATTTAAAAAAGGCACGACAGATCTCTTTTTTTTTTTTTTTTGTAAAGTGTTTTACGGCGCTCGCAACTGCATAAGGTCATATGAGCGCACGGGACTCCGGGACGCACCTAATATTTTCAGTTGGTAGGAAATTTTGAATTTAGCCCAGGTGGCGGCCGAAGCTTACTCTTATCGATTTTAGACCACCAAGGGATCTTTAACGTGCGCAACTTGCACACGGGCCCTCCGAGATTTTTCGCCCTTGTCCGAGAAGGCTAGGTGTAGATCTTACCTACCAGAAGATCAGGGGTGTGGCTGAAAGACAGCAGTTAGAAGAAGCGAAGGAGTAGCAGTAGAAAGGCTGCAGAAAGAATCAGGAGCCCAGAGGAAGGGGCAAAGGAGGTGAGGGGGTGGGGACAGAAAGAGGAGACGAAAGCAGACGACAGAACATTGCTAGAGAGCAAGAAATGAGGTGAAAGGAGACAAATTGAGAGAAGAAAATTTTTCGAACCCGGGACCTTTTTAAGATTGAGAGGCCAACACCTTAACCTCTAGGCCACGAGAGCCCCCACAGATCTCTCCAAAATCTGTGTTTAACTGACTACGAATATCATGTCACCGTGAGAAATCTTAAATCTGCGCGAGTAGAAAGAGTCAAGTTATAAGAGAAGAAAGATGCACATCTGCATTTTTTAACTAAAGACGATCAGAGTTGGCTCTTATTTTACTATTAAACAAGAGAAAGTTACTCATTGTTTGTTCATGAATCATGCTATGTCTGTGGCAGCCTGCATACAACTAAAAAGATATAATATAGAATCAAAGTGATAAAAAAACCCACAAAACCGTGTAAATACATGGGTAGAGATAAACTTCTTGTATGGAATAAAAATAATGACAGCTAACACATTCATTCTTAGTTTTTGTGTCGGAAATATGCGCTGACACAATTATGAATGCAAAGAAATCAAACACATTGTCAGTTATTGCAAATGGTCTTAGAAACGAAAATTAAAGCTGGAAAAGTCTGGTGCTGATTCAGTGTCCCTGGAAAGCTAGAAATTATTCTTATAACCCAATTACGAGAAGTCATCCCTATTATTCAGTCAACTTACAAAATCTAGACTTAGCGTTTTAAGAAAAGTAAGGAATTTCTGGAGTGTAACAGATGCTGTTCGTGTATTAGATCTGCATTGAAGATGTATTCTAGCACTAAAATCGATTTGTACTTTTCATAGAGAAACTTCATGGTGACTTTTATAAACTTTCGAGAAAATATGCGAACATTCACGATTATATTAGACACATAAAGTTGTATTTGGAGGAATTACTTCATAGCGAATTGTGTGCCCGATTGGTAAAGTTGCAAAATTACAGCTTTCTATCATATGCGCAGATACCATCTTTTCTGAGTATCTGCACCAATGCTATGTTGTTCATGTTCCAAAAGTTCGACAGATTTTCACGCTAGTCCCCAAAAAATTACAATTTAGCATTGCCGACTCAAGCGCGTCTAACGAAATAACCAGACAAGTTACAACGTCCGTTCTTTTTTGAGTCTCAAGAGCAGAAATGCATGCTTTGGGTGTACTAAATGAGAATTACCATAAATACAAGGATACACCTTAAACTGTATATTGAAAAGTACCAAAAATTAAGTCGGCCCAGACAGAGCGGCGACAGGGAGCTGACCCCCCGTGACCCCGACGTGATAAGGCGCCCGGCGGGACACCCCCGCGGCAACTAAAATTCCACTGCTGGTGCGCCGTGCCTTGATCTTAAGTTGCCCACGTTAAAGATCCCTTGGTGGTCCACAATTAAAAAGAGTAGGCTTGGGCAGCCACCAGAGCAAAATTCAATATTAATTCCTGCCAAACTGAAAATGTTTAATGTGTCCCATGCGCACATATGACTTTTATGCAGTTGCAAGCGTTGTAAAGCATTTACCAAAACAAACAAAATTGAATACAGCATACCCATTATCAGAATGTACTTATGTGCCCTTACACTCAAACAGAAACAAATACCTGTTCACACTGAGAAGGAGCACTGTTTGCATTCAGCTTCTGTACTGTAGTCTGAAGCCCTGTGTTTGGATCGCACTCACTCCACACACCCCCTTCATAGATACAGTCTAGGAAAAGAATAAAAACCACACGATTTCAGTACTGGACCGTACAAAGGAAAGTGCATCTTTCTGCACTTACTTCCTTTCACTTATAGGGTGACATTACTGAGACAACAAAATGTTTCTTCCGTACAGATAAAATACAGTTTTGGGTGATTTCCTGGTGGTTAAAGGGAATAACTGAGATATTTCGATAGACTAATCATGCAAATCAAATTACTCACTTTCCTCAGGCACAATATTGAAAATTGTTGCGAGCATTACAAACATCATATAATACAATACTAAGTAATAATGGATGGAATTTTGTGTGTTTTAATTAGTATAGTTTTGACAGGTAGACAAGAGGAGAAACAATAGGTAAGAAAATCTAATTCCATTTTTAACTCTCTCTCATCATAATTTTTTTCTTCAGTTCACCGGAACTAATATTTGAAAGGGCCCAGGTTTTGAGGGGTGATATTTTCTATACAAAATCACAAACAAGTTTTACACAAACATACATACACCTTTGCTATTATTTTAAAGGTAATAAAAAGTAGATTTGGGTAAGAAAATAAACCCGAAATAGCAAGTCATCATTGCTGTCACTATCAAAACTGTCAGACTCATTTATACCTAGCTCTAAATCATAGCCCTAAAAAAATCAGTAGAACTAGTTTTTTATTCACAAGTGAAACAGACTGGGAAATTAGTCTTTCTCACTTACTCTCACATCCCTTTTAAATTCATTTTCCAAGTTCAGTACTTACTTCAATGTGTTCAGGGCATATTTTACCATCTAAAGATGAAACAACTTGAATTCAATATTTAAGCACCAACTTGCCCTCTCGAACATTAATAAAAAGCAGTGTAGGGTATATACAAATATTGGATGTCAGTTCAACCCTGACTTATAAAATATTTGTTTCGTCCAAGGTACAACTTTTTCATAAACATCTATGATTTAAATAATCAATAAGATGTTGCACGGCACTAAGGGTGTAAACCATACATAATCACGAGATGTGGCAATAGTTGTTGTCAAGCCTGAAACAGTTATTTTTATGACACGTTAAGATACTTATTGAAATAAAGCCTAAGAATTATAACAAAGTTAGAGAATACATGTAGAGCAAAAAGATTTCTTTACATCAAAACTTAAGGCATTTACTATACAAGAGAAATGAAAAAATTAGAAAATCAGGAGAGATAACATTGCAAGACCATGTGTCATTTGGTTACAAGATTTTTTTTAAATGGGCAATTTTTCTCAAAGGAAAATCCTTACGTCTAATAACTGAAAAAGAAAAAGGCGCAGACATATTGTGGTGTAAGAGCACCTTAAGAAAAGAAGGACATGTAGCGTGAACACACCTTAATAATAGTTATAGTGACATAGGCCTAAAAGACATATCACATGACTGAGACCTAATGTGATTTCGTGCAAGCCGTGGGTAATCTAAGTGTCACTCACTCACTGAAGCCAAAACGAGTAACATCGGCTAACCAAGAATAAGAGAAGACCAGCAGGTGGGGCCCCACCAACATCAACTACCATCTAGATCTACTACTCCAAGACTCAAGTCAGTCGTAACATAACACATATCATCAGACTACAGCCTGTGACCAAATGCAATGTTGTCTGTCATAGGGTTGTTCGTTTTTTTTTGTTTTTTTTTCATGTGAAAATAAAAGGCACACTGATATCATCAGACTACAGTCATGATTAATGAACTTCAGAAAAAAAAGAAAACCCACCTGACGTTGATTTGAGTCTGATCTTCTGTCTTCTTCTCGCCTTCTTCCGCCTCCGTTTCTCCTTTCTTTTTCGCATTTTCTTTTTTCGGCCACCCTTTCCTTTCCGTTCCCGTTTGCTCCCCTCGTTGGTTTGACTGTCATCAGAATCTGCATTCTCCAGGCACTCTCGACTTTCTACTCGATTATTGTCGCACTGTCTTGTATCCCCGCTGACCAGTTCCAAAGTGCGAGTCTTGGTCTTCATCTCTGTGTCACACTCAGACCAGTCGGACACTTGTCGGTACTCACAACCTACAAGAAGCATTTGAGGACAGAAGTAAGATGAGGATCAAAATCCTTTAAATTTAAACTGGAGAAGAAAAAAAAATTTCAGATTTTCAAAATCAGTTGTCTATTCTTAAAATAACATCACATCTACAGCTCCCAATAACCAGCACAAATGTTAGACAGTTTTAAATTACAAACCCCCCCCCTCCCCCCCCCCCCCCCCACACACACAAACAAACCCCAACTAATGTTAAGTAAAAAGAAAATACAACTACTTTACACAAGCAGTTTAATGACATTGTGAAAAGCTATTACTGACTGAGAGGTATATGAACCCTCACAGACACAGGGAGTCAATTAATCATTTTCACAAAATGGGAGTTTTAACAGAATCTTCCTAATGATTTTGTTTGTATACAGAGGAGAGACATTAATTCATATTTATCGCCACACACTGATATATCTTTTCCCACAAACAGATGACTAGACTTGCCATTGAAAAGAATCAATCCCACATTGCAGGGTTTGGTGAAGGTTCTCATGCTGGGACAGCTGCTTTTGCCCCTCTTTAAATGGGCAATTTTTGTCTTCACATGGAGGGTGGTGTCACATGCACTCCATTTGCTACCCGATTTGTTGTACTTGCACCCTAAAGAGGACAAAAAAGTTGAGGTTCCATAAACACTATAGTCAAGTTAAGAAAAGTTCACAGACATTGCGCAAGGTAACATACAAATTGAATAGAGATACTTGATCACTGAATAATATAATCGGTCACATTTTTAAGTATACACATTTTAAAGCTCAATAAAAACAAATCTATGCCACCAATTACTTTCAAATTTACACACTGACTACGTGATATACCTGTCGCTGGTGAGTCGTTTTCAGATTTCTGAACGCGCAAGTGGTTTTGTTACAGCGTGCGTGTTACATGTTTTGTGTTTTTTGAGAATTATTTATGGCAAGGAAAGGATTTATTTACAAAAGAAGTACACATCAAAGCTTTGTCATTTTTGTAACAAATCTACATTTCATGATGCCACGTCTAAGAGAAAATGTACAAAATCAGCTTGTTGGAATGATTCGCGGGGGTGCCTCAGTATCCATTACTGCGAGACATGTTAATGTAACAAATCAAACTGTGTACGCAACAATGGATCTTGAAAGAACAACAGGATCACAAAAACCTGTCGACTTGGGAGAAGAAAAACTACTCCAAGAGAGAGTCATTTTATATGCCTGTCGCATCTACAGAATCGTTTCAAAACGGCAAGGCAAACCAAAGATGAGTTGAACAACAAGCGAGCTGTCAACCCAATAGAGACGGTTGAAAGAATTTGGACTCCGAGCAAGGAGCCCAACTCACCGAATAAGATTGACGCCCTACAACATCATAAACAGGCTTCATGGGGCAAGAAGACATTCACGTTGGTCTTGCCAGGTGTGGAATAACCAAATGTTCTCCAACAAATCCAGGTTTCTTTTGGAATGACAAGAAGGAAGAAAATGCATATTCCGGAGAGTAAATGAGAGTATTCCTAAGTTAGGCTAGAGCTTTTGGTGGTGGAAGTGTGATGGTGTAGCAATTTGACAGCACACCGATACATTGACGAAATTCTTTGGCCACATGTCCTTGCAGCCATTCAAAATCAGGGACTAACCTTTAAGAATGACAATGCCCCAGCGCATAGAGCTCATCTAACCCCCTAGTTCCTACATCTGATTTGAATCCCATTCAGCATCTATAGGACTTGCTCGATCGCAGCATTCGAAGGACACAACGCAAGCCTCAAATACTTCCTCAACTTGAGAGAGCATTGCATGAAGAGTGGAATAACATCCCTAAACAGGCAGTGCAGCGATTGATTGATTCCATGCCGCAACGATGTCAGGCCGTCATCAACGCTACTGATCTCGTTACTTTTGCAGACCACCCCCACACTCTTGTAAGTCGGGAATAAACCTATTACAATAACTTTCCGTATGGTTGTTGCATTTTTAGTTTTTAAAATCGATGAATTAGTATTCCTGATATTTTAAAGAATATCGGTTCATTGTGAAACGACCTATTTTCATTTTAACACAGTGTATACTTTAAAATGTGACACAGTATATTAATCTTGTTAATAACATAACTTGTAAGGTAAAGCTTTACATTGTTGTCCTCTACTTATTCATTTATCATCTTTCCTATTGTTTCATAAACAGTAGTCTCCGCATAAGATCCAGGTGCTCAGGAGCAAGGAGAATGCGCGATCTTAGGTGAACGGGATCTTGGTTGACGTACCAAGGGGAGAATCCATGGTGACTAACGGTCAGGCCCACAATCGATACAATGATTCTCTCTTACTCTGAAATTAACTGAGATGACCCCGGGATGGATTTATGACTTATGGCGAGCAAAGATTGGTTAACCTTCATGGCCAATCACAATAGCATGAGGCATGCCATGTTCACTTATAAATCCAATCGTGAGACCCAAGATCTACGCCTACCTTATTGCTCCTCCCCTGACTTTTCAGGTCCAAAATGTATAGTTTTCCATCTCTGACTGTTCCCTTGCCTCTGTCGTAACGCACCACTGTGCTGTGACCGCACCAATTAAACTTCAGTCAGTCTGGCAAATTCGGGAGAAGAGACAACAGCTGCCATAGTCAGGGAAGCAAAAGCACCAAAGAGTTCACAGTTCGACGTGATCCTGTCTGACGTGGACTTGTAGGCCTTACCCACCCAGCTTGTGATTTAAGTTCAGGTGGAGAGCGCAGATGCGAGTGCGATGTTGATGAAAACAAACGTGTCAAAGAGTTCACACTTTGGTGAAACCCAATCTAGGGCAAACATAGTACCTTCTCATCAAAATTTCACAAGAGTCGACGGATGATCTATAAAGCAACAAGCAGTACAATGATTGCAACTTTTATCTGCTTGGTTGATCAGCTGCACCCGCATAGGTTTTCCTTCCATACTTTACAATCTAAAATGCCAGATCTTAGCTGAATGTAGTCCTTCAGAACAGGATCTTAGAGGTGACTTTTGAGTTGTAAAAGTTTTATTTTTTAAACGGGGATCTTAAGCAAACCTGGATCGTAAGCAGTGGGATCTTTGGTGGAGACTACTGTATATATATAGTCGATATCGTCCATGGCGGCCACCAGTTGTCAAGGAGAAAAGTGGTTATTTTAGAGAGGTGGATGTTCTGGAAAGTAAAGTGTCAATATATTAAAGAAAATAACGCAAGGGGGAAGATGTAAGTGATCATTAATACAGGTGACTGTCATGGACAGGAGGCCATTAGTAGATCAAGTCTGACTGTATTTGAAAATACATGAAAACGCAACACATTTTTAAAAAAATTGCACACTGTCCTTTTACTTGTTTCATAATCATTTTCCACTCCAACTTAGAAGAGCCAAACTGTTCAGTAAATGAAGACATGATGCAAACATGTAAAATGCAACAAATCTCACAATACTTACGCCTGTGTCTCCTTCTTTTTTTACCTGCCTCAGCTCCGAGAGCTACAAACACTAAAAGAATCACAAGAACAGCGCAAATCTTCAAACGTTTCATGTTGTTGTCTCCCCGTTCCACTCTGCAAGGAAAAAAAAGTATACTGTCAAAAATTTTAACACATAGGAGAATTGGAGAAAGTGAAGAAAACATGCACTACAGTAATATTAATAAACAGAAAGATGCGATTCCCTTTTAAATAACATTATGATATTGTAACTATACACACGCCTATGGAAGAACCCTGATCACCATTACTGTTGTTGTCACTGATCAAGTGAAAAGGTGGGTGGTGGGTGGGGGAGCATTATCCCAAAAAAATTAAGAAAAATCTTAGGATCACATTTTTTTTTAGAATGTTGGAGTAAAAATGCTGGTAAAAAATAAGAAGACTTCTATCACAATGAATTACTAAACACCCAAAACCAGACAAAACTTGTAAAAATTTACATAAAACAGAAATAAGAAGCTGACAGTCATGTTGTAGAAGAACTTTTTAAGTTTTTAAGCTTTTGATGTGTCTTGAGTCCGGGGAAATGGGGGGG